ATTTTGTTGATAAGGTGCCTATTTTTGGCGCAGAAGATATCCCACAAAATTATTGTGGAGCCCACAGAAAAAGCTGTGGAGCGTTCCTCCCACAAGAAAATCTGTGGGACGTCTTTCCACGAGAAAAACCGTGGAGCCCACAAAAATGGCTGTGGAGCGTCCTTTCCACAAAGTTGTGGAATGTGTGGGGACTGTGGCATATAAATAGCCAGCTTTCCTTCAGTCGGGAGCTTCAACATCCAAAATTTACTTTGTGCACCGTTTTGGCTTTTTCTTTAAAATTTTCAATACTTTTGGCATTTATTCGAAATTATTCTGGTGCACAACGTTTTTTATTAATTTATTTTGGGATTTTACGATTTTATTAAAGAATTGGACATTTATTTTTGTGAAGTTCAAGTTTTATTTTGATTAGAAACATTATTGAGGGAACTTGAGATTGTAACTTAAAACAGTATTTTTATGAACGATCTTTTTGACATGATAGTAACTTACAGTTAATTTATTTATATATTGGCTTATTTAAGATGTTTAATAAACTTTAGAAACTTTAAAAAGTATTTGTAATTTTTCCCTCCTTAATTATTTTAACATTGAAGTTCAAACTTTGTGCGTGCTCGGTGGCCAGCAGACGACGTGAAATCACGGAGGGCAGACAGAAAAGATAGTTGCTGTCTACATCAAGACAAAGTTAGTCACGGAGAGCAGTCAAAACGGATAGCTGCGGCATACTACAGCAGAATAAGGTGCATAACTTCACGGTGAACAGACTTACAAAAAGTACGGGGCAGCACAGAGTTGCAGTCTACAGAGGAGCTGTCAGACAGACAGGTATCAGACAGATAGACTACAAATAGATCTGGCCAGCAGGGAGCAGCTGACATCTAGAACAGTTTAAGGCTCACTCTACCAAGCGCAGGAGCGTAACAATATTCACGTCATAACATACTTCAAAGCAAACTATGTAGATCAAAGACGAACTAATATAAATTGATATGGATAATGCTTTATTTCAATTGGACTTCGAAAGTTAGAGATGTCTTTTGTCGGAATTATTTATTAGCATTAAGATGTAAGCTTTGCTCATTATCACCTCTTCATTAACACAATGGAGAGATAAATACAGGAATATATTCTAGTTAATGTCAAACTCTTGATCACAATACCCATCAGCTGGTAGGAATAAATTTCGTAGATACAGTTTATAAGTTTATTGTCCCATCAATGTTACAACATAAAAAATTACAGAACTCAAATCTGCATATCATTAAAGCATTGCCCCTCTATACAACTGCTTTATATAGTTATAAGAGACATTCCCGACGACAAGAATACTAACAACAATTTAAAAGAACACTATATATAGATTAATGTTGACAGTAATATTACAACTACGGACGATCAGCTAAGAGTATTTAAGATTTTATATTACTACTAAAAAGAACTTTAAGAAATGTAACAGCAATTACAAAAAAAGATATCTCATAGTACTGATCAGCATTATGGTGAATATATCAACTTTAGCCAGATCAGTGACTGAAAGTTATCTTTTAAAATCTCAAAACATCATGTGTTTAAAACACAGGTATTTGTTTTAATTAAGTGTAACTATATTTACTAAAACGTTTGTAAAAAACATCATATAAGAAATTTACAAAACCAGATCTAAAATGACATTGATAAAACATTAACACATGTGTCTTGTACACATGTGTCTTGTACACGTGTACTAAAATATTACTTTAACTACACGTGAACAACATAATAGATTGCTACAAAGTAAATAATTACATTTTTTCTAATTCTATATTGTCTCAATTTTATTTTTTGTAATTTTGATTTATCAAAAACTTAAAACATGCATCTTTACAACAAGTTCAAAATGTACGAACTATTCAAAGAATTGAAAGAGCTGTCTATTAGATATGCATTCGTCTATTCAGCAATGGGGATAATTTTAGTCTTCCTTTTGTGTATTTTGTTTTGTTTGAACAAAATCACAATGTTTTCAAATTAATAAGAATACATTTTCTGATGTAAAACATATCACCGAACTTTAATGAATTAATTAAAATTAACGTTTACAGAAGTGATTGTGCCATGTTTGAATATCATATTCTCTTTATCATTATCTAATTTAATTACCTAATAAATAACGTGCGCTAATTCATGACAACAATTAACTTAACATTTCAGTCGTATTTTTATTAACTAAGAGAACAAAGTATGTTTATTTTAAAACGTATCAAAAATATTTGCAATAGGTTTATATGAATGATTCTGTGACGATCGTTCTTTTTAGTCTAATTGTTATTACATTTAGATGTTGTATACCTAGATTCCAGGCAAATATGCAGTCTTGTGATTAATCTTTATAAATAAGTTAACTATACGTAACTAAGAATTGATTATATTTAACAATTCATCCATAACTATTATTTGATATTTCAGACTTGTTAAATAACAGAACAGTTCGTCTTAAAAATCATTCTAACATTATGCAATTCGCACAAATATTTAAATGGACAGATTATCGGTGCAACGAAGATATTTTTCTTTACCTCTGTCTTTGTCTTGCATTTATTTTAAGTAAACCAATCATTAAAATTTTTCTTGTTTTCCAATTAAGTTTGCTTTGACCAGACCTTTTAAACACTTTCACAACAAACAATCATTTCAGAATTTCAGACATGATATTACTTTGTGAATTCATGCATTAGTTGTACTAATTAACAAAGATATGCAACTTAATTATTAAACAGTAAGCACATACCATGACCACGGAGAAAAAAAGATCAGTGCTTCGGATATTCAACTCTTGTAGAGAACGACTCTTAAGGCTGATTATGTAGATTACTTGTGACTGTTCACATCATTTGGCGGCGTCTTTGATGTGCAGCGTCAACATTTATTTTGTAAAAGAATTGATATGTATCTAATGTATAGAGAATGTAATGAACTGCTCAACTATTTTTACGCAATTTATAAATTAAAAAAACAACGTGATGTTGCAAGATTGATTCTAATGTGAAAAGAGGAAAAAGGTCACAACAAAACTTCTTGAATTGAGCTAATCACATATTTCTAAAAAAACATTCAGACCAATTTGATTTTCTCTACAGTGTCCGTATTCCTTTACATGGTTTTAAAGATAGACCTAAAAAACTATATGTGCAGCGGGAAAGTAAGAAATAAATATTTTGAAATTGCTTGTGGCAAATTATTATGAAACAAAAATATCACATTGCTCTTTTTAAATTCAACAAAACTTACATTTTCATATCTACATATGCCGGTAAGAGATGATAGAATCAAATTTAGGAAATATTCGCCTTCCTTCTCTTTAAAAAAGTCAGAACTTCACAATTTGTATGTAAAAGATACATTGCTTCGGTGGCAATCATCTTTAGAAATGCTCTCACTCGATTATTAAATAATACACATGTTTTAAGCGTTATGTATTGTTTTCTAATCCAGTCTTACTTTGTTGTAAAATGTAAATACCTACTTGTACCTGTGCATGTGAAAACTAACAAATACTAAATGTTTATTAAGACATTATTCCAATAATTCATGGACTCATATTTATAAAACTCGTTATCCAAAACGTCTCTTTACATTCTTTTTCAAATACATTGTCGAAACATTGGAAAGGTAATTATAAGACAAATATATCATTTTAGAACGCAAATATATCGAAGTAGTATAATTATATTAGAATTTTTATCAAGCTTTGTATATATCATTTGTACTAATTAGCCAGGAAAACAAAGAATTGCGACATTTAATTTCATATTTTTACGTTATTTATCATTTAACAAAAAATATTATTAAAAATCAATTTTGATGTAAAATGAAAGGATAATGATTCTTTATAACGAATTACACATATTGATTTTCTGATCAACATACCTTACTTCAAGTGAGTAATTCACCACAATATTAATTAATACACCGGAAAGGTTCAGAAATATAATGACTGTCATGTAATCTGTACTGAATGAAATAAATCTATTTATTTAATGCTATAACAGCTTTGATATGAAACTGAAAATATACCCCTAAATATGATTCGAATTAACATTTTTAGTGCATAATTATTTGTCAGTAAACGCATCGAAATCTTTTAACTTCCGAAGTATTTTTATTCAATAGAATAAATCGAAACTGCACACGCCATATTCTTAAATAAAACACACAAGTTCGTAACACGTGTTTATTTGTTGACTTTTGTTTACTATATTTGTTATTCTGCAATATTGTCTTCAGAATGAAAACGTTACTTCAATTCATAACATCGTGAATTTTCAAAGCTAAAACAACGATGAAAATGCTGTGATAACATTTTGTATTTTTTTAAATAAAAGTTTAACCCAATAGAAAACTGACATTTGTATAATTTAGATAATTTATATATTATCTCTATTATCTCTCTCTGACAAGTGATTAATTTGTACAATTCTTTCACACGAGAAAAACATCCTATCTAAATGAAATAGAGTCGGCTTGGTAATTGTGCAATTACGCACTATATAACTTGTTTTCAAAAGAGCACAGAAGAGAACAGACCAGAACAGAACATTTATTTAGTCTTATGTAAATATATAATAGATGTTCATTATAAAAACGCAATAATTATCAAAAATCGTTAACAAAAGCTTACTTTTTATTTTATTTTAAAAAATGATAATACTTATGCCTTAGTTGATGTTAAGTGGAATTCTTCCAGTTTCATCAGTTCCCACTTCATTGCCTATCGATATATTAACATTCAAAGTCATATTCTGAATATGTTGAATAAATCCCATATGCGACAAAGTTACATTGCACTTAATTTCAAGAACAATCAAGGCAATTATGTTGGATATATATAAGTTGTGTAATGTTATAAAATGTCACTCGTTCAGCAATTATTTTGTACAGATAGTGCCTCTGATACTTTACAGTAACGGAAAATTACTTTAACGCCTTCAGCAGAGAATCATGTAATAAATGTATCATACAATAGCTGTGCTAAAAATCCAATGAAATGTCGTGAAACAAGTCGATTTTGTCAGTTGTATAACGAGTAGCAGGGAGGTTTACTAGTATAAAAGAAAAATTGAGATATATTTTATTGGAAAAATAATAACAAATATTTTCAGAATTTGAACGGATTTATTAAGAAAGGATTTAATTTGAAAGGTAATAAATTACGTTCAGTAATTATCCTTAAAGATTTATTATTCATGGTGATAAATATGTAATTTGCTATGAAGAAAATAAAATAAATTTAGAAAGAAATATCTTAGGAATTTCTGTACACATTGAGAGATATCAAAACTAACTAAATAACATTTTTATGAAACCGATAAGAAAACATTTAATAAATTTGATGTTCGAATGTTTGTGTTTGTTACATGGATAATTAAAATGTCATATAAAATTATTTTGTTCCAGTTTTAGAGAAAAAATACTGTTGCCAGATAAATGAATTATGATATTACGTACCCTGATAAATAGTCTGTAGGATTCATTAAAAACGAGCCAGAATTAAAAAGGTCTTAATTGCGGGGTCGTCTCAATTTAGATTTTCTTATTATGGCCGATAAAGTTTATGACCACGGTCTCTTTTATTTTTTTATGAACAAACAATATGTATTATAACATTCAAATAATATTATGAAAGGGCACTATAATATCTATTCTGAGGAGAGCAGAACATAATTTTAAGAATTTAAAGTTAATACTAAAGATAAAATTTTCTATTGGTCTGGTTTCAATATAATATGGTAAACATAAGTCAATCATTAATCTAGAAAATGATTATTCTTTACAAAATGTGCAAAAAGCAACATTAAACTACTCTAAGCTTTATGTTTTCACATTATCGTATACCATATTACTTAGTCATGACACATTGTAACATCAAGTGCCAAGCCTAAATATATAACGCATTTTAGTTAAGAAAGTATTTACTGTAAATTGCAAATTTGAAACATCAAACTTGTCTCACTATATCGAAAGTGTAATTGCTGATTTATCCTTCTTGAAATATCTTTATTTAATTTATGATAAAAAGTTATTTGAACATTATTAAAATTCTGAACAAATATATGCCTGTGCATATGACAAGAAATTGTACTGGATACGTCAATAACATTTTCTGACTCTCTTTCCAAAAAGCATTCAAGATAAACATTACAACTTGTGATCTAAATATATGTTGGGTTGACTGGACTTACAGCGGTCGCAATAGAAAAAAAATACTGAAAAAAAAAACACAGAAAGAATAAATTGGATAAGCATATTGGTCTTAATTCTGGACCATGCTACGATAGACGTTAAGACAAGAATTACGTCCGATTATAATTGTTATTAATATCATGATGTTCTTAATTCCGGAGTGGCCCTAAGAAGGATTTTACTATTTATATGTCACGGGTTAATGTAAAGCTATGTTATGTTATGTAAAGTTTTCGTTTTGCCGTGCACTGTTTGGCAATTAAACTCAAAATCCATGCATGCGTCAGTTTGTTTCCGTGGCGTCTGCTTTTGTATTGTATGTAATGGTTCTGTAACGTACGCTTATTAGCGTAAATTCACTAATACGTCCAAAACAATTCAACTTTGTTTGTGTCTCGTGCAATTTTATAAACAGTTAGTGTATTTGCAGTCGTGTTCTACATTGTGTAAAAGAAAGTTTTACATTCTTTGATTTTTAACATTTACTTTCTTGCCAATTTCCGCAAACTATCCCTCTCCAAATTACTTAGTCTTTTTTTCTCTCACAAGTATAAAATATTTGTTCTACTTACATTAATTCTATAAGTTTACTTAAACACATTTTCAATAAAAAATGTGTAGCTGAATTTAAGTTATTTTCATTACTAATCAAAACGCTGTGGTACTTTTTTCTCATTACATTCATTAACTTAAAATAATTATTATTTGTCTCATTTAATTGTTGTATTTTATGTATTTTTAATTAACTTTTATTATAACTATGTTTAAGGCTTTTTTCATATATATTTCCATTAAATTAAACAACCTACGCCAAAAGTTGTAGCTTTTATTCTTTTTTTTGTAAAAAATGTAAAAGCAATAAAATATGATTAAATTAAACCGTTAAAACTTATGTAATTGGAAGGCGTAAGATGCCAAATTTTTTATTGAGCGATAATCAGTAGGTTAAAAGTATAACAGAGACCAGTATATGATATATCAGAGAAAAACTATAAATTATCACGTACACAAAAATAGTTCGTGTAAAATAAATATTTTTGTTTATTTGCAGGGTTGTTGGATAGCGTTTAACAATATGTTGGGTTCGACACAAACCAGTTTTGTCCAGTACGACGTAACTGATCATAGCACCATTGTCCTTTCAGAAAATGACACAGCAATAAATACAACCGATAATTCTAGTTTGAGCACTATTGGTAGCTGGGACCAGCATCAAGCAATTCGAACTACAGCAGAGAAAGCTGCCATAATATTTACAGATCCAATCGAAGCACTGACAGTTATTGTTTGTGTTGTGGGTATCATAGCAAACGTTGCATCAATTTTAGCAGTTGTTAAAATGCGACAAAAAATGACGACGCACCTCAAACTCATCATGAGCCTTTGTTTGTCAGATGCTCTAATTTCGCTCGGAAACTTTTCATTTTATTTCACTTACATTTTCTTCAATAAACATGATTGTATCAGTACTGTAGTAAGGTTGACGTCAGATATTGCGATTTTCACCACACTTTTGAATTTACTTGCCATGGCCCTTGATCATTATGGCGCTATCATTAAACCATTACGTTACAGACAAAAGATGACGTTTTGTAAAGGAAATTGTGCTGTTATAATGGTTTGGCTTGTCAGTCTATTTATAGGTTTACCGGAAGTCGTGTTTGCTATCGGTCAAGGCGGGTCAATTTGCACCGTAATTGCTGAAGGGAATCATCATATTGAACTAGCCATTATTCTGTTCATCTTTATTGTTCTTTTCGCAATATGTTTACTATACGGACGAATCTATAGCCGTATAAAAAGGGCGATGCCGCGACGGGAAAGGGCACGCCATCATTCCGACTCTGGAAGCGTAAAAGCGTTAATGACAACCGGGCTCTTTGTCGGTACATTTATTCTGTTCTGGACTCCTTTTGCATTGTACACTGTTTTCATGTATATTAAAAATCGAAATGACCGTATGTACATCGTTCTTAATATTGATAAAGTCACACAAATCCTTAATATCTTATATCTGATTCTTCTACTGAATGCCGTTTTTGACCCATTCATTTATGCCATTCGACTACCGAAAGTAAAACAGAGATTTCAAGCTTTCTTTACATCATCAAAAAGAAGTAGCAGATCAAGTAAGACTGACAAGAACTCAACGAATTTTCAACCGCTGTGAACGAAATTTTTCATATATTTTATGAAGATATGTATTCTGAAAACATGTTGTTTTTTTATTTACAGTTTTATCAAAATTATATTAAGAAAATAAAAAAAGTTTCTGACAAAGATTTTAGAGAAAAAACCAGTTGAATATTGTTCTTACTTTTAATTGCAAACTTGTATATGTCTCTTACGTAACATCCTCCGTAGCAATTGTGTTTTTTATATTACATTGTTCATTATCCTAGAGATGTCTTAAATAGTTTTTTTGCTTTCTTTGTTAAAAACTGACAATCAAAACCATTTTAGATACACTGATCCGTATTTTAGCTAAATGCTAATATTTAAATAATCCTTTCTTGTTAAACAACATAAAAAATTATACTTAATTTCTTCACAATATATTTTGGAACTTACACTCGTAGTGATGCGATATGAATTCTAAATGAACAAATTTCCTAGGATACTTGCTTACTTGATACTTGTTACTTGATGATTGCACTTTGACACATAGAAATTCAAAAAAGTGAAATAGAGCAAGTGAACTAGAGATGGGGGCACACTACAAGTATATAGCGTCACTAAAAAACTGGCGGTTTAAAACAAATGACCAGCTTGACCTGACATGTAATGAATGACACAGCTTCCATATTGTTTATTCATTCTTTTCCTTCAAATTTAACATATTCAATAAGAAGTTTAAAGCTTTCAATGAATTTTTATGGCAATAATATTTTACTGAAAAATAAGCAGATTATATTTTTATTCATAAATTCTTTTGGCATTCATTATTTTGTGCCTCATTTAAAAAATCAATTACTAATGATATATAAGACTAGAGTTTATGATACATTAGATGAAGTGGTTTTTGTATTGTTAAGTCTAACATTTATCGTCAAGAATGTTTCACACTTCGTGGATTATCATTTTATGACTTATCATTAGTGCTTTTCTTTTGAATTTTCATTACATTATTATAACTTGTAAAACGTAATTCTTTGAGCTCTCCGACTATTCAATCGTAGTATCATTTTGCACGTTATAAAGCACAATTTTCATTATTTATGTACATTTATATCATATTATCCTTTCCTTTCTTAATTCACCAATAGTGACGTTTTGTGCAAAATAAATATTTTCATGTTTTAAGTGTTTTCACCAACACAGACAATAATTGATAGGCGAGTACTTTGATTTGTTAATTGTAACTTATAGATAAATATAATACATGTATATCTGATGAAAATATGTGATGAAATGTGTCATGATGAAGATTTGAGCTACTTAAAGAATATTTTAAATCAGGATGTTTATCTACTGAGTTAAAAGTTATTGTGAAAGATATAAAGTAAAAAGAATAGAAGATAATGGGGGAAAAAAGATTGGAGGTTTTAATTTTAGGTCTTGTTCAATGTCATGAATGACTCAGAGAAAATGTTTTCAGGCCCGAACCCGGGAATACAATGACTTCTGTGTTCTACATAAATATGAGAGGAAAATATACAGCATCTTGTGTCAGAATGTAAACAATTTATTCACACAGAAAATTATGATAAGCTCTCGTTTCCATTGAAAGTTTCATAAAAAATAAAAATATATTTTAACAGAAAAACTAGTGTCTGTTTTATCTCTCGACTCATTAAATATATGTTTTTCAGTTTTGTTTAAAACATCTCAGTATTGGACTAAACAATGTAGGGGCGTCCGTGCTGGATAGCTTACGGAACGTCGGTGGTTCTACTCAGGTGCCCGTTCGTGTCTGAAATAATGCACGGAGGGACACTTGAGGTCTACCTCAACCAGTAAATTATCGCCAAATGGCATATACTGTGTCGGTGTGACGTAAACCCAATCAAACAAACCAACAAACTGAACAATGTAGAATAATCTCATAATATAGGTTCAATATTTCAGAAAAGTTGTGTAGAGTGCTAAAGAAAAGATACCAAAAGAAGGGTTTGGTAATAATAATTCTACTTGAATTTAAATGACAATTACCAAGATTTCGTTGTTGTAATATATCTTTTTCGATATAGTCTTTCACACCAGTAAAACCTTTTATGGCTATTTATTATGATAGTTTGTTCTATATAAATATGTTCTGGAAATATTTTGAAATATTTAAACGACAATGGTATCATTAAGTGTGTTTAGATACTAGAATATTATTCAGAATATTTTAGGCATGTGTTATTAATTCATAAATTATTATCATATGACTGTGCTTAAATGTGATGCTTATTTTTCATTTTGTAAATTATTAACTTAATAAAGTTTTCATAAGATTTTGTGTTGTTTGTTGAATGTTTTTGAATACTGTGGTTAGTTAAAACTAAGGGTCACCAACTCCCTATCCGTTGAACTCCATTGAGTTATTGCTCATAAAATAAAAATAATGAATTGTTCCATGCACTGAAGCTTTCAAGCCATTTAATGAATCGTACGTATACATTTAGTAAATGCTGAGTGGCTTGCAATCGTCATTTTCACAAATTTTCTAAATTTGACCATAAAAGTGTTCTTTAAAGCAACAGAAATCTGAACAGTTAATCAGTTTTATTATAGCAACATAGGTCGCGAAGTGATTGGATTAATGTAGAGAATTAAAATTATTTATTTTATGCTTTTCAGTGGTTTACTGATTTATCCGTGAAAATTATATTTGATAATTTCACACTGAAAATTATCAAAATATAATTTCCCACTTAATGTATAAGGAAATTTCGTTTTAACTTGTTTTAAGCATAAAATAAAAAGAAAATAAATTTGTTTGTTTGTTGAGTAAGATGTAATTTTATTTCATCTCGTGAACTTTAAAAACAGTATTCTCACGAGTGGCGTAGCCACTCGTGAGAATTTAAAGCCCACTCGATGAAATACAATTTCATCTTACACACAAACAAACAAATATCATTTTCGGCATATAGTTTTAGAATGGCTATTTGTTTGACCTTAAATAATGAACAAAGAAACAAACCCAAACAAAATGATAAAATTAAAAAACTATGATATCTGAATTACATATTAGATGATTTAAAAAATAAGGTATTGTTAAAGCTATTGTTCTAGTTCTGGCTTGTTATATTGTCCTGTTTATGGAATATAATAACAGACACTTAAGAAAATGGTTTAAATGTGAAAGTACACAACACAAAAATTACATTCTGTCTATCAAACGACTTTATTTCTGAAATTTAAAGTAAAAGCCCTACAAGTTCAATGCGACTTCATGTTATAAATGTATAGTTTCTGAATTATCCGTCCGTCCGTCTGTTTGTCTGTCATTCCGGTACATAATCTTGTGATACCTAAATGGGTTTTGAAACGAGTTTGCGTGGATGTGAAGCATATTGAGACGATGTGTCGCATGCAAAATCTGAGGTGAAAGGAATAGATTATGACAATTTTTTCATGGACGTGTCTGGCAAAACAATTCAGTCATTCGTGAACATATTAAAGTAACTTATGAAGAATAAAATAGAGAAAATAAGAAACCCTAAAGAAAGTCCAAAACGACAAAATTGAAAATTTTCTGTTTAATTGAGCCTGTTCATGGACGTTACTGTAAAGTGGAAAGTACCGTTCATGCCCGCTAGCATCGGTTTAAGCAGAATTCAACATTTAAACATAAAATGGTGAAATTTTGAATTTAGAAACATCTGCAGATGTGTTCATACGGCGGTTATCATGGAACCTTCAATGTGACACTTAGTTTGACGTTTCTCGCCTACGAACTCAAGGTTTACCGTCAAGCATGTATGTCAATTATGATATGATATTTATACAAGAAAACATTGATGATTGTGGCCGGTCAAAATATCTGTTTGTCCAAAATCAAAAATATGATTGGGAATCTATAAATTATGTCCGGTTCATAGCATTGACATGCATGGAAAGATTATAAAATACATTCATGTGTTTGAGCTGAAAAACTAGGAATTGCAGCTCAAAGGTCAAGGTCAGACATAATTTTATTTCATAAAAATGCATTGATGTTTGTGTCCGGTCAACAATTCTGTCATTCGTAGATGATATTTGAAATGACTTTCTATACATATGTTGCTCTCAGAGTTGACAAAAAGAATGACAAATAATGAGACAAAATCACGTCAAGACTGACTTAAAACATATCATTTGATATACATAATTATATCAAATACACTTGGTGTTTAAACTATAAACTATCTCAAACCAGTAGCATAGCAGCTTTAAATTTATTTTTCAGTAAGTTTAAACTTGTTTTGTTAATAGAACTACTAGCAGTTTCCATTCAAAAATAGAAAATATTACTATTGTGCTCTCTGCTTGTGAAATAATTTAGTTTTGGTAAAGTGTTGATTTTTACACGTCGGGCACAAAATGGGCGCAATTTAACGAAACTATTGCCATTTGTTACAAGCGTAACACTAAGTAACTCCTACGTAACGCATGTGAATTCCGTAACATTTGTAACAAGTTTGTTGCTTGAATTTCTTATCTGTGAAATTTCATTTCACTCAAAACTCTCGTAACATTTGTAACAATGCTGTAACAATGCTGTAACAACCTTGTAACATCTATGTAACCTTATTAATTCCGATTTTGGTCATTTTTAAGTCTTGTGCTGTAACACTTGTATCAACCTGTAACATTTGTAACAATTATCTGTGTAATTTTTATTTCATTCTCAACCTTCGTAACATTTGTAACAATGCTGTAACAACTACGTAACAACCTTGTAACATCTATGTAACCTTATTAATTCCGATTTTTTTGTCATTTTCAAAGCTTGTTCTGTAACATTTGTAACAACCTGTAACATTTGTAACAATTATTTGTGAAATTTTCATTTCACTCCAAATTCTTGTAACATTTGTAACAATGCTGTAATAACTACGTAACAACCTTGTAACATCTATGTAACATTATTAATTCCGAATTTTGTCCCTTTTCAAGGCTTGTGCTGTAACATTTGTAACAATCTGTAACATTTGTAACAATTATCTGTGAAATTTTCATTTCATTCTCAACCGTCGTAACATTTGTAACAATGCTGTAACAACTACGTAACAACCTTGTAACATCTATGTAACCTTATTAATTCCGATTTTTGGTCATTTTCAAAGCTTGTTCTGTAACACTTGTAACAACCTGTAACATTTGTAACAATTATCTGTGAAATTTTCATTTCATTCTCAACCTTCGTAACATTTGTAACAATGCTATAACAACTACGTAACAACGTAAGACACGTAAAACGGGTCTACAACGTGGGCACTGCTATCTTCTTTCTGATATTTGTTTACCTTTGCTGTCCAAGAATATAATTTTTACTAAACACGATTTCATAAGTCGATATTTTACGCACCTGTTGCTGTATATAGACTGAATTTGGTACATTTTACCCACGGTTGTTTATATGTTATGTAACATCCGACGATGAAATACAGAATTAAATTATTTATGTCAATTTGTGTAAAAATAATCCATTAAATGTGCTCATTAATTTAGGAAATTTCTATGCGTGACATGAAATGAAATTTAAAATACTTAGTTTGAATGGAACATTTTATTTCATGTGATTGACAATTCAATAAACTGCAAATTTAACACAGATCTACGAATAAATCAGCAGCTTCTGGATTTTCTGGAGTACATACTTTACACTTTACTTTACTTTACACATACTTTGCACTTGACAGTACCAGGCAAAATCAAACCGGACCTGCAACATTTTTACTTTTGCCGTGTTTGGCTTTTGAATGGATTCTTATTTTCTCTATTTTAGTATCAAATTTATTCACAAATATGAAAAGTCTCAACAAAATAGAGAAACTAAGAATCCATAAAGACAGCCAAACACTGCACAATTGAAAATGTTGCAGGCTCGGTTTGACTGAGCCTGTTCATTGACGGTACTGTCAAATGCAAACTATCGACCACGCCCCTTAGCACCGGCTTAAGCAGAATTCAACATTCAAACATGAAATGGTAAATTTTTTGAATTTGAAAACATCTGCAGATGCGACGTTCAACGTGACACAGTAATGTCATTCCATAAAAAGCTTTTTAATCGATTTGTGTTGTAATTTTAAGGTATATAATGCAATTTTGAGGTTTATAATGCATTTTTAGGTACTTCAATGTATATAATGTATTTGTAAGGTATATAATGCAATTCTTATGAATAAAATGCAAATCTAAAGTATATAAGTTTATTGTATATAATGGAATTGCTAGGTATATAATGCACTTGTAAGGTATATAATGCAATTCTAAGATATATTATACAATTTTAACGTCAGCTGTCTTGAAATAACACAAAAGTGTCGGATTGAAAATTACAAGATGACCGTCGGAAACTCCTATATTCCAAATGTCAACACTTTCAGGGGTTAATGTTGTATTCTGTTTAATTTGTGCTTGAGGAGGCGACCGGTAACTTGCCTTAACCACTTATAACCAAACACAGACTCAATCAAATCTTTCCCCAATCAGACTATTTTGATGTATTATTTAAATAAACAACAAGTTTCAACAAACAACAGAAATAACATTTTAAAAATCGTATATCTGCAATAATTCCTATCGGGAAAATATTTACAAATTAAACTACTGCGGGTGATATTGGTGCAGCAGTTAGTTTTGTAAATAGAGAAAAAGCTCATTTATATTGATAGGCCCTTATCGCTCTCTGTCTCTTATCTTAATTCAAATTATATTTGTATTATAGAAGGTCCATAATGCCTCAAAAATGTTTTTATTTTCATTTCTTAAAACCTATTGCTGGTGTACTTTTATAGTATCCAAACAATTACTCATTGACCAATTACCTGAACATTTTTTTTCATCTGTTACTCTCTTGTAAAAAGTACAGTTAAAATGAAATAGTATTTAATATGAAAGTCAAAATACTACTTTGTATACTTTTGTTACGTTTATGACACATTTATGACTTCAGGTAACATGCATCTCACACTTTAACGTTACAAACTTCGTGTTTGGCTTTTCAAAAGAAGGAAGCAAGAAGAAGTAAAAAAAATGTTTCTCGAGCGAGTGGTGCGTTTAAAGAGATGACGATAACACAACGATCAACATCTCTTGAGAATAATGTTTTAA